TGAACCAGATAATCACGATAAAGGAAATAAAGGGGTTTTCGAGAGTGGGGGCAAAGGTGGGGTGGGGTGGGGTGGTGAAGGCCTGCCCAGGAGCGCAGGAGAGGTCACTCTGGCAGAGACCTGGTAGTCGGGGGGAGCCGTCTGGGGAGGCCCTGGAGGGTTGTCATAAGCCCAGCGGCGGCAGAGCCCGGAGGCCCCCCTCGGCCCCGGCCAGGGCGCTCCCTGGGGCCCCCGGAGGCGCGGCGGGCGCGGGTCTTTGTCTCCCTCATTTTCTCCGAAGCCTCTCGGACCCCCAGCGCTGTTCCCTCTTTGACCTCGAATAACTTGTTGGCTTCCCCCGGGCTTTGTTTCCCCGGGGGTCACCGCCTCCCGGACGCCCGGCAGCCGCCCGGGGCCCTCGTGGGTCCCGCATCTGACACCCCCTCCGGCCCCCGCCCCCTACTCGCTCGGAGACAGGGGTCAAAGGCAGCCCGCGTCACGTGGTCGCCGAGCAGCACCGAATCGGCCGGGAGAGCCGAGGGAGAATCCGGGTGGAAGCCGAGAAATCCAGCCCCGATAGCAGCGCCCGGTCCCGCCCCGGCCCCCGCCCCGGGGCGCTCGCCACACGCGCGCTGGCCGCCCGGGCCTCCGGAGCCGATCTCTGGCCGGCACCCACGCTCCATCACGGGATCGAACCCGGCTCCCACCGCCGCGATTCGGGGAGGTAGGCGCCGCGGCGGGCGAAGGGAAGGGGAGACGGGCCGGGGGCCCTGGGAGCGCGGGCTCGCCCCTCTGTGCCCCACCGGCCTGCGGGGCGCGCAGCAGCGCGCCCCAACTTCCAGTCTTCGGGGAGACCCCCACCTCCCCGTCGCGGGAACGCCGGGCGGTGAGCGGGGGGGACTGCGAGCTGCCCCAGCGCAGTACCGGGGGCCGGGACTGGGGGCTGGGCACCGGGCGGGAGGGGGGAGGGGGAGGGGGACAGCGGGCGGGAGGCTGGAGGCGGAGCGGGCGGTGGCGGTGGCGGCGGCTGCGGCGTGGAGCGGGGGTGGGAGCGGCGGGAGGCGGCCGGTGAGGGGTTAACCCCGACCGGGGCCAGAGCCCGGCGGCGCCCGCACGGCCCGGGGGGGAACCCAGGCGTCCCGCGGCTGGCCGGGAGCGCCTCCTCCCCCGGGGGGGGGGTGCCCCAGCCTGGGCAGGTAAGAGGCTGGGAGGGCCGGGGCCAGCTAGTCCCCAGTCGCTGGGCCGGCGGGGCCCGAGCCGGGCGTGCAGGCCGCGCGGGGCCCAAGCGGCCGCCGGCGCAAGTTTAGTGCGGGCGGGCGCCGGGCGGGCGAGCCGAGTCTGCCGGGGCCCCGCGCACCGGGGTGGGAGGACAAAGGGGTGGGGGGCCGCGCGGGGGCCGGGGGCAGGCCAGGGTGCGGGCGAGGGCAGCGCGGCAGCTGTAGGTCACGGATAATGTCACTCACGAGGAATGCCCCCTCCCCCTCCCCTCCTCCCGAACAGGGGAAACTTTTGTCTGGCTAGGGAGGGGGTTAGAGGCCGGGTCCCCGCTCGGGGCAGGGTAAGGCAGCCGGACCGGTTTTCTCGGGACTGTGCGGCCTGGTCTCTAACTCCCTTCCTCCCTCAGGTTCTCGGAGCCAGGAGCCTCCGTTTTGAACGCTGCTCTTGAACACCCTGGGACAGGGTGAGGAGGGGGCGCCAGTGGACGCGTGGGCTCTGGGACAGGCCGGGAATCTGGGAACTGGCCTCCTGGCTCTGCTTTCCCGGATTCGAGCACACGGGTCAGCCAGGAGCCAAGCCAGGCCCAGGGGATTCAGAAGCCCCCCAACCCCGTCTAGCCCCAGCGCTGTACTCCTCCCCACCAACCCCCAATCATTCAGGATGGCCTCGGGCAGTACTGCCCCCTGGTCTGAGGTGCAGACTGACCTGGGTGTCTGTCACTTCCCAGCTCTGTGACCTTGGACTGGTTCCTTACCTTCCCCTCACCTCAGTTTCCTTACCTGCAAAATGGGGAAAATTTAGTATCTTCTAGAATAAGGTTGAAATGAGAACCAGTGGTACCTCAGTAAAGGGTAGCATGTTTCTACTCAACAAGTATTTACTGCATGTTTACTATGTGCCAGGCACTGGGCTACTTGCTTTACGTACGTTATTTTATTCAATTCTCCCACTCTACTATTAACCACATTTCACCAAGGGGGCAACTGAGGCACAGGATGGTGAAGGTCACACAGGTGGGGAAGTGGTGGAGCTTGGATTTGACTCTCCTCCTCCCAGCCTGAGAGCTCTCAGCTACAGAGCTCTGTAAGGTCCTGCTGTGACTGAGCTCGCGGTGTCATTTTCAGTTCAAATTATGAGGACCCTTGTCCCCTTTCCCCGTTACCCTTACCCCCAGCTGATGCTCCTTCTGCCTGGTACTGGTGCAGGGTGAGATCTGGTGCCCAGCTCTTGTTATTGTGGGCAGCTGGAGCAGAAGGGAAGTCTACTGGAGCCTGGGCCCAGAGCTCTATGATGGTCCAACTTCGGTTGCTGGCTGGGTCCGTGGCAGGAATGCTCTCCCAGTGCGGGGGGTGCAGGGAGGAGCTGGTGTCCCTGGCTTCAGCTAGGGACAGCTGGTGGCTTTGTCAACAGGCCTCTCCCCAGCACCCAGGGGACGGCAGAGCCTTTCATCTCCATTCAGACCAGGTCACTTTCAGATCAGCAGGGGGCAGAGGTAGGGCCAGGAAGTGGAGTCCTTGGGGCGACGAGGGACATAAGGCCAAGGGATTTATATCCCAGGTGTCCTCTTCTATGAATCATCAGCAGGGTCCTTATTACTAAACTAATGGGCTGTTCTAGGTGCTCCAGCCCCAAAGGTCCCTGAGGACAGTCATGGGGGGTGACTTTGAGCCGGTGTCAGGATTACAGAATCCTATTGGAAAATGCATGTGTATATGGGATTTCTGAGCCTAGGACGCAGTGTAGGCCGGTGAGTGAATGTGTGGGGTGACCCAGACTTCCACTGGCTTTAATGCCCTGTGCTGGCCCAATCTTGTAGTGGGGGTACCATCTCATGACTGCTGATCAGCCTCTGATTGGGGGACTTGAGTAAATTTTTTTTTTAAGTGGAAAACAACTTGCTAGCTAATAAATGACATCTTAAAACAATGGAGTGGGGTAGGTAATGAAAGTTCTTGGGAGATGCAAGTTTGGGCATTACTGTTTGAGCTGCTCTGAGGGCCATGCCCATGCTCAATCTGGGATTTGCAGGGTCTGCAGGCCTTTGCTAGACTCCATGAATAGGGGGCCCTCCTGGGCCGACAGATCACTGTTAGCCTGTAGGAACAAGAGTGGAAATTCCACTACTAGCTGGACTTTGAGGGGACTCAGAAATATGGGGCAATGAGTGGAGGGGCTGGATGGCTGAAAGGAGTCCTGAGAGATGGGGATGACCCTTGGCATATGGCCAGACGATCCTTCTCATCGTGATCAGAGAAGGGAGAGAAGCCTCTGGGAGAATCAACAGGTGAAGGGTTGGAGCCAGCAAGCAAGAAAAGATGGATAGTGAGCCTCTTGTCAACAAGGGCCATGCAAGAAGCAATTTTAGATCACATGTTGAGGATGTGGTCGAGTATGGAATCATAGACTGGGGGTTGGCCCAGGGGCCAACTGAGAGACTCTGCATCTGAGAAACGTGGAAACGGGCTCTAGTCTCAGCAGCCCTGAGCTCTCTCTGCCCTGGGCTTTGGGCCTGCTCGACCTGTCTTCCATACTTTGGGACCAGTGCCAGGCCTACAAGTCCCTAGAGATTGGGCAGACTTCTGCTGGCTTGGAATTTGGTTTTGGGTATGGCTTGAAATATCTGGACTGTTTGGAGGACTTGGACGTGCTTTACGTGAAATGGAACATTAGGGTAATTTGTTAAATATGTGTGGAAACTGCGGAGTGGGGTGATGGGGAAATGAAATGGGATGAGGTACCGCTTGTTTCTCAGTGGAGAGGCTGCTGGTCTGATGGGGGAGGGAAGACGAGGATCAGTGATGGTAAAGAGGCAGGACGTGGTCAGTGATAGATGGGCTTTGGAAGGTCAGTAGAGGGGAAAAGCTCTTTTGGTTGTTAATGTCGGCAGGGCTTCCTGGGGGAGGAAGTGTCTGTGAGGATGCAGGCTAGGGGAAGGGGGGCAGTGGGAGGCAAGACTGGGTTGTGGGGTGTTTGCAGCATCCTGCTCAGGAGTTTGGGTTTTATTCTGCAGCCGGTGGAGAGGACAGAGGGTTGTAAGCAGCTCCTTGAGTCGATGCCTGTTACTGTGTCTCGTGCCAGGCTCCTTACAGACGCTCCATTGGAATCTCACAATACCCCTGCAAAGTAGCTGCTGCCTCTAGGAACCCCCACCCCTGCCCCATTTTCAGATGGGGAAGTGGAGGCTCCGAGGGGTTGAGTCACTTACAGAGCTGTATTGGAACGCAGGCCAGAACTGTTTCTGCCCTCACGTGCTGTTCCTCTCAGAAGTCATTTGGCCAGAGATGATGGCAAGACTGGTGGCGTTGAGACCCACTCAGAGCTTATGCTAATTGTGGTCCAGCAGAGAGCTGACCAAAGCCCGACACAGGCCATGGGGCTGAGGAAAGGAGGAGGAGGCTGCAGGGCTTGGTAGCTGCCTTGGGGATCGGGGTCATTACGGGTGACCTAAAGTTTGGGGAAAGACCCTTAAGTGGCAGTGTCACCGCTTTTGAACCCCTGCAGGGTTCTCTGTGGGCAGAGGGCATAGCCTTGTCCTGTGCCTCTGAGGCCAGAGACAGCACCCAGGGGGACAGGAGCCTAACAGGGGGATAGGATGCCTGGGGAGGAGGCAGGGTCTCCATTGCTAAAGGTATGCAGTGAGACTGGAGGGGGAGGGTGCAGAGGGCCTGTATACCAGCAGGGTCAGGCCTAGGTGACCTCTCCTAGTTCCCTTTTCTCTCGAGAATCTCAGCAGTTGGGGTGGTGCTTGGCCCACTTCCACCCCCTGTTTTTCTTACAGCTCTCCAGAGCTGCCCCTTCCTGTGCTTCTTAGGAAGTTCCCTATACTTGCCTGGCCTGCAGTGCTCTGCCTGGGAGAGTCCTTACCCCGTGGAATACACTCAGCACAGCTGACCTTCGAGGAGCCCCTTGGGATGTCTGGATCAGCTCCCAGAGCGTGAGCTGCCCGGGACTGTGGTTTCACAGAGGACTGGCACCTTCTGCTTCCATTTTCCAGTCTGTGAAATGGGTTCAGTCTCTTTCCTCAAATGTGTAGAAAGAAGGCTGAATCACGAATCAGTCAGAATCAGTAGGAGTTGGAGGAAAGGGCCAGTGAATTTGAAAGTAAGGAGTGGGAGGGCTGTGGTGGGGGCAGGGCTGTCCCCCTCCTTCCCTGCAGTAAAGGTTAAGGCAGGGTCTCCTGGTCCTGGGGCGGGGGGCGGAGCTTGTCCCTAGCAGAGGTGTTTTCTCCTGCCCGTGGGGCTGATACAAAGTTCTGCCCATTTGCTTCAGCTTGGAAGCTTGGAGCTTGGTAGAAGGGAGGGACATGTATGTCTAGGGACTGTGTGGCCTCTGGGCCAGAGCCAGTCTGCCACAAGGAGTCACAGAGGGGACCAAACCTCTTTTCTAGATGGAGGAGAGTTTATATTAAGTTGCCTCCTAGCCCTTTGTATTTCTCCCTGTTCTATTTCTTGATACAGATTGGATTAATCTAATCAAAATATAGATTGCAAATGAGCATTTATTTATTTGAGGGCAAGGTCTAAGGAGTAGCCCACTGTGTGACCCTGTGCCCCATCCCCCATTCCCCTCAACCGTCAAGCAGAACCTGCCTCTTGTCCTTTGCTGTGTGAACATCTCTGTTCTTGGTGAGGATACGGCAGGCCAGTCACTTCCCCTCACTGCGCCTCTGCCCCCAGTCCTCCCCAACCAGGGCCCAACTCCAGTGTTACCTGTTCATACAGTCATCCCTAATGCCACAGAGCTGGCCTTGCCTGCTCCCTGCTTTTGCATGGGCAGAGCCTGTTATATGGCCCCCTCACCGGGCCCGTCACACCCCTGGCTTTGAATTCTGATTTCTTAAGGACATGTCTCATTTCTTCTAGGCTCCATGCTTTGGAGGTAGGCGCTGCGTGTGGGCCATTCTCACACCAGCGGTGGTGGGCAGCATTGCAGAGTGGAGTCCAAAGTTGGGGGTTCGAACCCCAGCTCTGCCACCATTAGCTGTGGGATCTGGTGCAAATTACCTAAATCTTAGATCCCTTTTGGGCATTGGTTTTCTCAACTGCAAAATGAGGATAGTAATCGTCCCGTTTTGCTAGGAGAGTTGAACAGATCGATGCCTTACCCAGAGTAAAGAACCCAGTGAGCAGGAGCTCTTCAAAGATAACAGTGGGTATTATTATTGTTTATACCTAGGGGGTGGTCTGTCCCTTCAGAGATGGAGGGAAGAATCCTTGGTGTTTGAGTTCCTGAACTTTCTAATAGCCTGAGAAGGCTTGTTCAGAAGTGGAAACTGAGGCCCAGAGAGTCAGGGCAATTTGTCTGGGGTGTGGGTGCTGGCGTTCTTATCCAGGAAGCCTGACAGGATTTCTTCTTTTTGTTAATACCTGTTAAGGTGCTCAAGTTGTGTAGGCCCAGTTTCCTCTCTGGTGGCCATGTGGAATGGTGTCAGATAAGTTGGCCCGGCTGGCAGGTCCTGTGGCTGTCCTCAAGACGAGGGACGCATACCCCAGACAGTGCCCACTGTGGGCTGGAACCTCCAGAGGCCTCCCGCCTGGCCTCCCTGCGCCCTGGAAACAGGGACAGGATGATGGCAGGGAGAGGTGACCCTGGGGTAGGTCTTGAGGCAGGTGAGTAGGACACAGACAGAGCTGGGAGCTAGGCTCGGAAGGGAGGAAACACTCAGAGCCAGCCAAGATGGACGGGGTTGTGTCTGGAGGTGTGGAGCCGAATCCCAGCACTTGGAGACTCTGGCCTCCTTCACAGCTGAGGTCTGGCTGTCTGAGGCAGGGCGGGGACCCTACTCACCCCTCGGCCAGCCGGGGGTCGACCTGTCTGGGCAGGTCTGCGGTGGCGGTTGGGCGGTGGAGGTCTGCTATAATTGGCGCTGTGGCAGAGCCACCTCTGGTCTGTGCTACCTGCCCAGGCAGAGGCCAGGTGAGGAGAAACGGATGTCATCATCACGGCGCCTTCGCTCATGCCTCCCTGTCTGCCCAGGTTCCCTTCTTCCTCTCCTTACATCAAGGCAGCTCCTGCTCAAGCTTTTACAGGAGTCTCGGCGTCACATACTCCCGAGAGCTCTTCCCAGTTCACCTGCAGGCTGAGTCAGTGGTCCTCAAAGTTGGTATCTGCACCAACTGCACTTGCTGGAGATGCAGATTATCTGGTCCCACCCCAGACCTACTGAATCAGAAACTGGGATGAGGCGGGAAGGAGGGACCCAGCAGTCTGTTTTAAGGAGCCTCCAAGGGATTCAGGTGCATGCTAAAGTTCAAGAAACACTTGGTTAGATAATTAAAAAAAAAAAAATGCTTCTCTCCTTGGGCTCTCAGCATACTCGGACACCCGGCAAATGTCGAAGACCCGGAGAAAAGCCCAGTTTCTCTCTACCCTGTCTTTAGGGAGCCACCATCTCGTAACAGCTTCCCATCTCCAGGAAGCAATCTTGTGACACAGTAATGAGGCTCAGTAAAACCCCAACACAATTATAGGAGATGGTGCTGGGACCACTCGAGGAAGGCAGGATCAGGGGACTTGAAGGGTAGGGGGTTTTGTGGGTGGCAAAGGTGGATGCCAGGAACAAGCCAGCTGTGTTCTGGGGCTGGAATCAGGCAGAGAGCGTGGGTCCTGCTTCAGAGAAGCATGTGTGCTGGGGGTGAGGCCGCACGCATGTGTGTGCGATTACAGTGGTCAGACGTGGTCTGAGAGGGCTAAGGGGCCTTAGCAGTCACCAGCCTGGTGGCATGAAGCATCTCAATCATTTTAATGATGATGATCATAAAATTGCCACTCAGCATTTTTTGAGAGCTTGTCAATGCTTGCTAGGCGTAATCCTATAAAGCAGGCGCTATTATTGTCCCCATTTTTTAGATGAAAATACTGAGGCCATACAGCCATAAGGTGGTAGATCTAGGAATTCTATAGAATTCTGTAGGGGTGCTTAGAAGCATGATTTCTTTGGAAGAAGGGAGGTGGGGGATTGTCTTGGAGTGTTTGTTTAGCAGGCACAACATAGATTGGTTTTTTAAAGATGCAGAAATGTATATACTATCAGATGAGTGAATTAGGTTTTGGCGGGGCTGATGGGATTGTGTTGGGGTGCTTAGGGCTGAAGCCTCCACATGGGGGCCTCCACTGCAGACCCTGTCATTCTTCCTGTCGTCTGCATAGCCACTTGAGGCACACAGAGACTCACTCAGTGCTGGGAGTTCAGGATCCCACCGCTAGGGCAAGAGAGAAAATCAGAGAAGAGTGGGTCTCCTCTGGTTCCCACCCCAGGAGGGGTGGGGATGGGGGTCAAGATCAGAGCCCACTGTCTAGCCTGCTGTTCTTTTCCCCCTCGGTGTCCCCAAGGAGCCCAGGAGCTGGAGGGCTTTCCTGACCCTGTGGGAGCCTCTCCATTTCTCAGCGGGGAACCGAGGAGCAGGGACTTGCCCACACAGGGCCACACACAGTGTCATGATTGGGACCAGAAGCCAGAGCTATCTCAGTTCTGACCAGGGAAGGGTTTGTTTCCCGAACACTGTCCCTGCCCCGCACCCCATCTCGGGCAGTCTGGGTAGCCATCGCCCTCAGGGTGGCCCAGAGCGATGCTGGGGGCAGAGACGGGTGTGTCCTGGGGAGAAAGCTGCCAAAGAGAGGTGGGGCAGTGTCCAGGGGAAGAACACCAACAAGCCCAAACCCCAGACGGAAACCAAGTGTGTTTTCTAGGTCCTGAGAGGATATCTGGAACAATGGAAGTAGGTTGGGGGAAGTTGGACTATAAAAAGGGCTTCTGGATATCCTTAAAAAAAAAAAAAGTGGTCTTTAGGTTTGACTTTTGTTTCTCTGAAGGATGTTTATGTAACTTCCTGAAAGTGGGATCCCAGGGCTCCGTGAAGTTTGTCATGCTGCTGTTTATATTCTCAGGCTTTGAGCTGGGAAGGGCTTGATAGGGTGGTCTCCCCATTTTACAACTGGTGGACTCTGAGAGGCAGGAGGGGCCTACCTGAGGTCCCGCGGTGAGACAGCAGGAGACTTGGCCCCAGAGCCGGGGTCCTCTGGTGCCTTGCAGGGGGCTGTCATCTTGCTCACTACTCCCTGGGCTCCGACTGGCACAGAAGCTGGGTAGGGGCTGTGGAGGGGTCCCCGTGGGAAACACTCAGAGCTGTAGACTTAGGGCAAGGCCAGGACTGGTCTCTAGCGACGTGGGCTCACTGGGTGCTGACTCGTGGGGTGGGCGAGAGGCTGGGATGGTGTGCTTAGTGATGCCACCCCCGTCCAGATGCCACGGCCCAGCTGTGCCCCGTCTGCCCAGCAGCTGGGAACTGTGAGTCACACCCAGTGGGTGCAGAGGCGAGGGCTATTGTATGTCGTGATTTCTTCTGTTCTCCCAGCCCTGAAGGGATGACTAGGCCCTGAGCCCTGATTCGTGCCCACACCTATGAACTTAAGCAGCTGTGAGTTTAGGCTTCATGTTTACAGATATGAGCCGTCCCAAAGGGCTTGGGGGAGCCCCCTTCCTCTGCCACCTCCTATCTCTCGATCCTGTGGATGCTATGATCTTGACTCACCCGTTCTCACCAATGCAGGAGTCTGTGTGCTCCTGAGATCATGCACGACATTTGGTCGGCATTCCTCTGCATTCTTTTTCTGCAGGGAGTCTGTAGGTTTCATCAGGTTGTCAGAGGACTCAGTGTCCCCCCAGGTGCTGACAGGAGGGCAGGAGGCCATGTGCCTGCACTGCAGCAAGCAGGTTGCTGACGAGGCAGCGTGGCTGTGATATTCTAGGAGACGGTAGGCCGGCGGCAGCAGAACAGGACGGTTCAGAGTGTGGTCGCGGAGGCCAGCGTAGGGTTCTAAATCCTTCACTTGGGAGCTGTGTGACCTTGGCTAAGTGGCTGTGTCTGTGCCTCAGTTTCCCCCTCTGTAATATGGGAGGAATAATAATAGTTATCTCATGGGGCTACCGGCTTTTAAAATAAGATAATCCATGAGAAGGACTTATCCCAGTGCCTGATACAAAGTAAACACTTGGTAAAAGTGTGCTATTATTATTATTCCCAGCTCTGCGATCCTGTTAAGTGCCTTACCTTGGGGTCTTAGTCTCCAGCTTTGGCTGTGTACTCTGTGTTGGGCTTTCC